CGTGACAGGGGGCTAAAGTAATAATTCACATCAATTTAAGAGGTATTTTCAATATTTTTCTCTATTTTTTATGGAATAATTATTTATTTATTCATTCTAATAAAATTTACTTTAAGTGAATTATTTGTATATTCATCAGTGTGTGTTGTTTACTTATATAATAGAATATGGTGTCAAATGGGTGGGTTATACTGAAATTAGAAAAATTAAAATGGGCTAAACTAGAAATCGGGTTGAGTCATGCCCGCTCGAGTTTACTTTGGGCTCAAATGGATTAAAAATCAGGTTGAGTCATGCCCGCTCGAGTTTACTTTGGGCTCAAATGGATTAAAAATCAGGTTGAGTCATGCCCGCTCGAGTTTACTTTGGGCTCAAATGGATTAAAAATCAGGTTGAGTCATGCCCGCTCGAGTTTACTTTGGGCTCAAATGGATTAAAAATCAGGTTGAGTCATGCCCGCTCGAGTTTACTTTGGGCTCAAATGGATTAAAAATCAGGTTGAGTCATGCCCGCTCGAGTTTACTTTGGGCTCAAATGGATTAAAAATTGGGTTGGGTCATGACCCGCTAAATATCAAGAATTTTAGCATATTGCTATTTAGCTTTTATAACCACAATTTGAATTTCAACTAAAAAAAATTTGAAAAAAAACAAGTTCTCGATTTGAAGGGTGCACAGGTCAAATACTATAGTTGTTGCATAACCAAAATTTAAAAGCTCAAAGGCAATTGACACCTAGGGGTAGGGGTGTTCACAGTTTGGATAAAAACCAATCCAAACCGAAAAATTGATTAAATGAACCGATTTTATTTAGGGTTTGATTTGGTTTGGTTTTAGATTTTTATAAAACCGATAGTATTTGGTTTGGTTATGGTTTTGTTCCAAAAAAACCAAAGAAATAACCGAACCAAACCGATAAATAATATACATAAAATTTTATTATTATACATATATAATATACTATTTTATAAACAATTTTAAAAATCTTATATATGTATTCATCAAAATTTATTTATAATTTACTTATGAAAGTAAAAATGCCCAAGGTAAGAACATTTATCTTATTGTTTTCATGTATATGAGTGTCTATGACAATTCTTTGTGGTACTGAAAATGTCAATGTCTCTTCCTTCTAGGACAAAAGTAGTGAACTTTTGAAGCTTTATTCATAGTAAATTCAATGATCGAAAGTTTCATAATGTCAGTCATTCTAACTATTTTTCATTTTTGAATGGATTATTGTCACGTTTTTTCACGTTTTTGAATGAATTATTTCTTTTAATTTTATGTATATGGTTAATAACCGAATAACCGAACCAAACCGAACCGAAAATGATAACAACCAAATCGATAAATGTATATTATATTAGGTTTGGTTTGGTTTTGATAATTTTAAAACCGATTAAGTTGGTATGGTTTTGGTTTTGACCAATAACCGACCCAAACCAACCCGTGAACACCCCTACCTAGGGGTTGTTTGGTGTGAGGGATAAAAAAAAAAGGTCCATAGTGATGGGATAAGTTATAGCTTTTTTCAGTATGGAAAAGACACCAGATTCTATGGTATAGCTCACATGGTCTATGTCGGTTAATGGTAGACATCCCACATAAGATTATGGGTTTCTTTAAAGACTATGAGTTCCTCAAAAATTATGATTTAAGCTTATGTGTTATGATTTTCAAATGTTGCATTGACCATGTCTCATGATTTATGATTTGAGCTTATCAAAATTTAATAAGTTTTACTTGGCCATGCATCATCAAGTTTTCAAGACTTCGCATGTTTCACATTTATGTTTATGCATGTTCCCCATATTCAGTACATTCAAAGTACTGACACATATATCTCTTGTGCCTATATTGTTTCATAATATACAATTCGACATTCCTCCCTTAGGTCGTGGCTAGTGAATTGATCACGGTTTGCTTAGTTTGTGGTGAGTTCTCATGGTTCAAGGGCATGATCACACATTATGAGTTTCTTGTCTTTTTCAGTTTTTCAGCTTTCAGACTTATTTCGTGAGCCAGGACTTGTCCTAGGCACACCTATGATATAGAGGCTTGTTGTCAGACTTGGTATAATTTTGTGTTTACAATCTTTGTACTCTGATTTTGGTATCATGATGAGTTGAAGTATTGAGACTTATATTTTATTTATCTCTTTATATCGGTTATGCGTATCTTATTGTCATGTTTATGTCAACTTGCTTGTAAGGGTCTCTGAGATCTTATTTGTCATGTCACGTCTAGGGGTAGTTTGGGTTGTGACACTTGCGTGCTTTCTCTAATGATCATTAGGGTGGGTGCCTCGACACTCGTCATTCACCCACAGAGTATTATGTGTTTCTTGGCAACTCCTTACTCTCTTGGAAGTCAAAGAAACAAGCAACAATGTCCAAATCATCGACTGAAGTAGGATATTGTGTCATGCAGACTACTTGCAGTGAAGTGGTTCGGTTGCGTCGTTTGTTGACTGATTTTGGCATTCATTTTTCCTCTCCCACACCCATGTATTGTGACAATGAAAGTGTGGTAAAGATTGCCTCCAATCCCCTTTTTCATGAACGAACCAAGCACATCAAGATTGATTGTCACTTTGTTCGGAAAAAAATTGATGATGGTGATATTTTTTTTCTCAAGTTTCTTTTAGAGATCAACGGATAGATCTTTTCACCAAGTCTCAAACAAAGAAAATATATGAATTTTTTAATTGCAAACTGTTGGTTGACCACCATCAATTTGAAGGGATGTTAATCACCATCAATTACAATATCTACCTACCATATATAGTTGATTACATAATATTACTATATAATCTTCTTTAATTGTATTTATCATGTATAGTACTAACCATGTATGATATTTTATCATGTATAGTTTTCTTGTAACTTTATAAGTAGATAATTTCTGAAGTAATAGAAATTAAGATTTTCCCTTGTTCATAGTATTTATTATGTATTTTATCATTTATAGTGAGTTTTAGTTCAAGATGTCCTCCTTGAATGGTTAGTCCTTGAGTATGAAAATCCGTTAAGAACAATTATAAATAAATTACATATTTTTGTTGATATAAGTAATATTATTTAAATTCTATGGTTTTTCCAAAACTAGTCCTTAGGAACGTGCGTTGCACGTTTATCCCATATTATTGAATTATTATATAGAAAATATTGAAATTAACAATATTAACTTTATCATTTACATCATATTCATTAAATAAAATTCATAATAGTGGAATGTTTCTTTTTTTTTTTAATCATAACAGTGGAATGTTGCATTTGCCATCAAGCAAGAAATGTGAAGCTAATTAAGATAATATAACATGTAATGGTATGAATATGTCGATATAACTTATCCTCAATAATCTCTCATTACTCACTTTACACGTAGATTCCATATCCAATTTGAAAACATAAAAAGAAAATTTTAAGAATAAATATAAAAATCACTTACAAAGGAACCAATTTACATGAAAATAATGGTATGAATATGTCGATATAACTTATCCTCAATAATCTCTCATTACTCACTTTACACGTAGATTCCATATCCAATTTGAAAACATAAAAAGAAAATTTTAAGAATAAATATAAAAATCACTTACAAAGGAACCAATTTACATGAAAATAATGGTATGAATATGTCGATATAACTTATCCTTCGAGAGATATGTATCCTTCATCTACATCAATTAGAATAAAAAATAAAATATAAAAATTATTAGTGTATAAAAGAGTATATATTTTTATTTCATTCTAATCCATACATAGTGATAAAATCTATTGTCTTCCAAATATTCATTCTCTATCTATCAATATTATCACATATGATGACGTCTTCGATCCAAATGCAACACTAATGCTACTATCCCTAACAGTTCTAAAAAGACAATGATATTCTTTTTCTTCTGTACCTAGAAGATCTAGTGTAAAGGAACCAAAAAAGTAATATTGGAGCAAAATGAGGTAAACAACATAATAGTTAGATATGGTCATAATTATTATCTAGAATAATTTTCTTCCAAAGATGATAGCTAGGTCAGATCTGAAACATGAAAAATTAAGCTCTAACAAAATAAGGTGAAAAATTAAATGGAAGAAAGAAAAGCAACGACTATATATATATATTATATTATGTGAAATGACAAAGAAAGGAAGAAGAGAGTTCAATTCACCAGCAATAAAGTGATCATTTCTCTCATAATTAATTACCTTGCAACTCTTCGATTCCCCTTCTTTATTATAATTATTATAACAATAGGTGAACATTTATTAGTAGAGAGAGAATAATTAAGATTAGGAAGGAAATGGGGAAAGCCAACAAACGGAGAAAACAAACAAGTAGGTATATGATGATTAGCATTAGTATAATAATATAATAATATGACATATGATTATTATTTAATTAATTGTATTTTTATTTACTTTTTAAATTTAATATAGGGGTATTTTCGTAATTCAACTCTTGAGGTTAAGCTCTTCCCACTTATAATAATATATGATTATCATATAATTATTAAATTATTTCTTTGGATTGGCTTGTCTATAAAAAAACAAACAGTTGGATAATCCGAATAGAAGCTCCTAATAACCGAAATCGAAAAACAGTGGGACACCCATAAGCTCAAAATTGTGTGTTAGCCTAGCCTCCGAGTACCACATAAATACTACGAAGTATTTGTTATTTGTTAAGTATTCCCTCTGTCCAACAATAGTTGTTCATTATTGACTTGACACACCTCTTAAGAAATAATAAATAATAGGGGTAATATTATTATATTATTCTTTGACCTTATTAAATTTAATGACAAGGGTAATAAAATAGACACAAAAGTTAAATTATCTTTTGATATTCTAAATTGGACAAGTTTTGTTGGATAATTATTTTTAGTATAATGGACAACTGTTATTAGACGGAGGAGGGAATATCTTTTTTATAAGAGAATAAAATATGAAAGTGGGTGGCTATTTGGGAAAATGAGGCCCAGATCGTCTGGCGGCTCTATGTGTTGACTAAAGACTCTTTTAAGTCTTTGTTGATACTGTTATGTTTTTCCACAAGACAATTTTTGGTTGCTCTGCTGCAAATAACACTATCTGAAAAAAATGGCAGAAGTGCTGCTAAGTGCTTCAGTTGAGGTTTTACTTCAAAAGTTACTTTTGCTTGCAACAAATTGTAATAGTCATTTATGGGGTTCCAAGAAAGAATTGGAAAATCTGAGGAGATGTTTAGCTATGGCTAGAGCAGTTTTACATGATGCTGAGAGGCAACAGAGAAAGGACCAAGCAGTGAAGCTTTGGCTGAAGAAACTTGAAGATTTAGCTTATGATGCTGATAATTTGTTGGATGAGCTCAATCACACAACACTCAAGAAAAGTGAGTGGAAGGTATGTTTTGTTTTATCACTACCAAATCCACTTTCTTGTAAAATGAGGGCCAAAATCAGGGAGATCATTGTGAACCTGAAAATGATTAATGAGGAAGCCAATGACTTTGCTATCCCAAGGGGAGTTGAGGATGGAATTAATCATATCAACCATAAGGAGACTGACTGTTTCCATGGTGATTCCAATATTGTTGGAAGGGAGGATGATGTTTCAACAATGGTTGAATCCCTAATTTGTCAAACCAACCAAGTAGTTGCAGTTTTCCCTATAGTAGGCATGGGTGGGCTAGGTAAAACTACATTGGCTCGATTGATATACAACGATGAACAAATAGTTAGATATTTTGATGAGAGAATATGGGTCTGTGTATCTGAGAATTTTGATGTGAACAAAATTATTAGACTGGTTTTAGAATCATTAACACAGAGAAGTATTGATGTGCAAAGTAGGAATGCTTTACTTCAAATACTTCACAAGGAACTAGGTGGCAGAAAATACTTGCTCGTTCTCGATGATGTTTGGAATGAAAAGCTTGAGGAGTGGGATGATTTTAAAAGGTCCTTAGTTGGCATTAATGCAACAAAGGGAAATGCCATTATTGTGACTACTCGAAGTGAACGAGTGGCATCCATAGTAGCAACGCATCATCTTCATTTCTTGGAGAAATTATCAGAAGATGACTGTTGGTCTGTGTTCAAAGAAAGAGCATTTCCAGAAGGAGATGTGCCAATGGAATTGGTACCAATTGGTAAACAAATTGCGCACAAGTGTAGTGGTTTGCCTTTAGCAGCTAACTTGCTTGGAGGAATGTTGCGTCTCACGAAAGAAACCAGTGAGTGGTCATTAGTTTTGAGAAATGGCCTCTGGAACTTAAACGGGGATGAAAATGCAGTCTTGCAAGTGCTGAAGCTGAGTTTTGATCATTTGCCATCAACATCTGTTAAGAAGTGTTTCGCCTATTGTTCAATTTTCAGTCGGGATCATGACATTGAAAAGGATCAACTGGTACAATTATGGATGGCTGAAGGATTTCTCCAACTAAGCCAAGGAGATCATTTGAAAATGGAAAGCTTGGGAAATGAGTTCTTCAACATTTTGTTGCAAAATTCCCTATTACAGGATGTGAAAAGAGATGACTATGGTAACATTACCCATTGTAAGATGCACAGCCATGTTCATGCTCTTGCTCAATCAATTTCGAGATATGAAGGATTTAATATAGGGTGCAGTACTGAAGATGGCCATCCACATGTTCGATATCTTTCAATGAAGTCCTTAAGGGAATCAATGCCTTCAGTTGTCAAGGAAAGAGCAAGATCTTTACGCACCTTGTTTTTAGCAGATAATGTTTCTGGGAGCATGTTATCAAACTTCAAGTATTTGCGTGTATTAAGTTTCCATGGTGTTGACGTTGCTGAGGTACCCTCATCAATCAGCAAGCTAATACATTTAAGATATCTTGATCTATCAGGCACCAAAATTCGAGCTTTAGCAGATTCACTTTGCATGCTTTTTAATCTACAGACTTTAAGATTAAATGGATGTGACTTTCTTGAGAGTATTCCGAGTCAGTTGAGCAAGTTGAAAAACTTGAGACACCTACACTATTATTCATTCGATGCAACTTGTCTAATGCCATTCAAGATGGGACAATTAACTTGTCTGCAAACATTGCAATTCTTCAATGTTGGTTATGCTGATGGTCAGCAAATTGGTGAGATTGGATTTTTGAAGGAACTTGGAGGTGATCTTGAAATAAGAAATCTTGAGAAAGTAACTAACCAGCAAGAAGCTCGAAGTGCAGATCTGTGTAGAAAGGAAAATATTTATAAGTTAATATTTCAATGGAGCAGTGGGAGGCAAGACACAGTCAATGATGATTCTGTCTTGGGAGGCCTTGAACCTCATCCAAATTTGAAAAGCTTGACAGTCCAGAACTTCATGGGTGACAAGTTACCCACATGGATTATGACAATGATGGTCAGTACTATTGAGGGGCACTTACTGGGACTTGACAATCTGGTGGAGATCAAATTAAAAGGCTGTAGAAAGTGTGAAGAACTACCAATGCTTGGGCACCTACCGCATCTCAAATATCTAGACCTCACTGGACTGGATAATTTGAAAACCATAAATCGTTCCTTTTATGGTAGAGACTTTCTCAGATCAAGAACCTATCAAGGTGATAATACGAATATCGCATCATTCAGATCACTAAAGAGACTCGTTTTCTGCAACATGCCCAACTTAGTTGAGTGGACTGAACCAGAAGAGGTGACAACAGAGAAGGTGTTCCCTCACTTGGAGGAAATAGAAATACACAACTGTTCACAATTAACTACCACTCCATGTTCTTTCCCCAGCCTGGAGGAATTGAGGATTTCAAATGTTAGCAGTTACCAGCCGTTGGAAAATATATGCAGTAGTGATAACTCATCAGGTCTTACATTCCTACATATTGATGGGTTGCTGGAGCTTGCTTGCCTTCCGGACAATCTTCTTAACAATGTTAAGAATCTGGTATATCTAGCTATATATAAATGTCCTAATTTGGTGCATGTTGTTCCACGTGTGAGAGGTTTTGGTTCCTTTCTTCGTGTGTTGGATATCAAAGAGTGCACTAATCTTAGCACGTTACCTGATGATCTACAAACTCTTCAGTCTCTTGCAATGCTGTGGATATCTAGATGTCCAAAAATTACGTCAATCCCAAGCTTGGAAGGCCTGACGACTCTGGAAGAACTGAGAATCAGCTACTGTGACGAGTTGGCTTCTCTGCCAAATGAAATGCTGCTGTCCTGCATGTCTCTGAAGTCTTTGAGCATAGAAAACTGTGTTAATTTAACCTCCTTTCCTAATTTGAAACAGTTGCATTCCCTTTTATCCTTGAGAATTGTTGATTGCCCACAGCTGACTTGTCTCCCCAAGGGGCTTCATTCTCTTTCTTGCTTAAACTACTTAAGAATTGGTCCATTTTCAGAGGATCTCACTTCATTTCCGATTCTTGATTACGAAGACGCTCCTAACAGTGAGATACATGAGGAAAACTTGCAACTTTTCTCTCTTAGAAGTTTAACACTTTTTGGGCGACCTCATTGGGACTCTCTGCCTGCATGGCTTCAAAGTCTTTCTTCTTTAGCAGAACTACATCTTTATGATTTTGGATTTGAAGCTGTGCCTGAATGGATAAAAAACATGTCTTCCCTAGAACGATTGGGCCTATACTGGTGTGAAAAAGTGAGTTTTCTTCCCTCCATTGAAGCCACAAAATGCCTTGTCAAACTAAGAGAAGTGGAGATTTACAATTGCCCTTTATTGAGTGAAAGATGCTCTTCTTTGAGTGGCTCTAATTCTGAATGGTCTAAAATTTCTCATATAAACCAAATCAAAGTTGATGGTAAACAAATCACATCCGAGGCTACTTATGAAGTGTTACCATCTCCAACTCTCACAAAAAAAGAAAAAAAACGGAGGAAGAAATAAGGTGAAGAGCAACAACTAGATGCAGACTTCCTTCTGTTTTTCCTCCTTTTGATAGATGATATCTGGTAATCTTGTATCTTTGGCTAATTTAATTAATTCCTACCTCCTGTTCATTTGAATCCCCAACTATGTATATGCTAATTCATATTCTTTGCATCTCTTGTGTTATTTAATTATATATTAAAACTCTGATTCTGATACAATTTATCATGAAGAATAATTGATTTTACATTTGGAAAGGTCGTTCGTCTATTTACTTGTCAATGTTCCATAAAATTTTATCATAGACCTGCTGCATTATTTTCTCAGGTAAACATTGAATATCATATTTGACATAAACTCAATAATGAAGCAGATTATGCACTTCCAAAAGGAAAATGAAATAGTTAGAAACTACTTTTAATAAACGAAACACTAATTTATCTAGCATCATGTTGGTGCATTACTTTATTCTAATCATAGGGAGGTTTAATTAACACTCCAAGCAAGTTTTCTTGTGGCCCTCAAGTTGCCAAATTAAACGATCCTCATCATGTTCCTTCACAGCATAGCAGAGGAACTTTAATTTTATCTTGTTTCAAAAAGTCTAAAGAGATTGAACTAATCAAAAGCTGTCAATCAATGTAATGTAGTGTGAGGAAGCTATCAAAGATGACAGAAAATCTATGCTTAATGGGGTAGGAATTGCAACTGGATCAGTTATGGAGATCCAGAAGTTGTTGGTTATGGTCCCTGGAGAAGTTCTCTTGGTTTCACTTCATGCTGTCAGTAAGTAACCAGTCGTCATCTTAGTAGGCATTTGGACATAGCTCGCTTTAAGTTGGATGAATGAATGCTTCCAAAATTTAAAAATCTATCATAAATTAGCTTTCTGGAAAAACCTGCATGCACATAATTGTGCTCACTAGTTTTACATTTGCAGTTATCTCAGCCCTTCTGGTTTGAACAACATATTTATTAGAGCTGATGAACTGCTAGTGCAAAAGCATTGTTGTCTTCTTCTTGATTTGAACAAAAACACAATTGCTAATACTTTAAATAGCTTCTGTTTCCAGGTACATGCATAACAGTCCAAACACAGACACAAAAGTATATATGGTCAACAGGTAATTATAAGATATATGGGTGGGTAAGACATGTAGCGTAACAACTGTGTAACAGTTTCTTTCACCAATATGAAATTGTACTGTGATTCAATTACTTACTACTATATCTCTAATGACCTGAATAAAAGAGCTAAGTGAATATCAAGCTTGATAATCAATTTGCTGCGTGGAGTTTGACAACAAATGATAGGTTCATCATTCTTATTAACATCTCTTTATCTATCTTAATAACTGAGAAATAAATCATGCGCTTTGTTATAATATTTTTTATACACATAAATATTGAAAACATCCTTAAAACAACAAACAGTTTTAAAAACACTCATCTACTTTATTAAGTAATTTAAAAATACCACTCTCGTGTCACATGTCATCCACCCAAGCACATATCTGGAATTTTCTATTGATTTGGCATACACATATCTACATAATAAAATAAGACCTTAGTTTAGTCAAGGTGTGTCTCGGGAATTTCGGTCATAGTCTAGGGGTACTTGTACATTTTTCCATAATAAAACTTATATATATATTCTTTTCACTTTAATTTTTTTAAATTAATTTATTATCTTTTCAGTTTTAATTATTTTTAATAAATTATGTGTATTTTTTTAAAAAAACAATTTTAATTTTAATGTTTTATTTGATTTTCTTCACTTATTATGATATCCGTTCAAAATTAACTTATTTTAAATACAAGAAAATTTGAAATCAAATCAAAACGAAAGACAAAGAAAATAAACTCAATAAAAAAATAAAAGAGAAAAAACAATGAATGTAAGTAAAAAAAAAAGTTTCGATACAAGGTAAACAAATGTGTATTAACTTAATTTAAATACAAGATAAAAA